ACAAGGGCCGTCACGGGGCAGAGGGGCTCGTGACAGACCCACATGGTATGCCTACCATCCCGCCGGCCCCCTGCACACTTACCCGCCGACCTTTCTGGATCCGGTCGTTCCTCGAGGTTGCAGGGTGGCGCAAACGAACGATGAAGCTCTGCATCCGCGTGAACGAGCTCACTGAAAGAACGACACCTGGTTCGGAAGGGAAAATCCAGTTATTCCAAATGACAAGTACAAGCGGCTGTGAAAAGGGGGAGAAAAGCGGGACCAGGGGGTGGAATTAAAAGCAGTAGAAATCAGCCACAAACCCAGGTCCCCTTGATGGTGGGAAGAAAAAGACAGCTCCCTCTCCTCTCCAGGGTGGAATAATAAAATCACAACGCAAATAAACTGGCCAGAGAGGCCTTCGCTGACAGATGGGCGCCATATAAATCACATAAATCAATAAGCAAATAAATAAATAAATAACACAACAAAGGCAGAAAGCTGTCTGCTGGCAGCCTGAACAGGGAAAAGGAAAAGGCCTCCTCTGCCGGCCAGACTACGGCGTAGGGCGAAAGGCTACTGCGACTGTACATTTCCCCTCATTACTGACCCCTGCCCTGTGCAGGCTGGAGGACACAAGAACAATAACCGCCATTATGGTAGTAATAATAAAATAACAACTTACATAAAAAACAAAGAAGAGGGCCGCGGTGCTCCACCCTGAAGTGTGCTTTCTCTTGTCCTGGGTGGGAAAGAAGGAGAGATGGAAGTCCTCAGGAATCTCCACTTCGGGACTTGAACCAGAGCTGAGAAGGAGACTGGAGACAGCTCGCCATGTCCTGCAGGCATAAAGGGATGAGAGAGATATACACATCTACACATATCTGCCTCAATCCTTTTTTGTTTTGAACCGGCCATCCTAATGGCAAGTTTAAAAACTGGAACTCTGTGCATGCCCAGAGGCTTTAAAATTACCTAGAGCTGTCTTTTTAAATAGTTATTTTACACCTTTCTTCTCTTTAGAGGGGTTCGTGACAGACGCACATGGTGAGCCTACCCTCCCACCGGCCTCCTGCACCCTTACCCGCCATTCAATAAGCCCAGAGAGGCCTTGCCTGCCAGATGGGCGCTATAAATAAATAAATAAACAAACAAATAAACAAACAAATAAATAAATAAATAAAAGAACAACCATTAAGAACTTCAAATAATTTAAATGTACGCTGGGTACACTTAAGACCCAATTAAAAACATAGCTTTACATCCAGGCCTTCCCTCCTGCCAGCATTTAATTTCCCTTTCTCTTGGCTATCTATTTATTATTTTTTGGAATGTTTTGTGGCTATGATGTCAATGATTAATAATGTTTTAATTGTATATATGTTTGTTGTTAGCCGCCCAGAGTGGTAGAATCTACTAGATGGGCGGGATATAAAGCAAATAAATAAAGAAATAAATAAATAAATACTGTAAATAAATTAACGCAGTGCACTGTGAGGGAGACAACTGCAAGGCTGTCCCCCCCCACCTCCCCATGCGTTTCCTATGGGGTTTGGAGGCAGAGCGAGGGAGGGAGGGAAATTCACACCGACCCCCTTTAATCCTTCCTTTAAGGCCAGCCTCGTGGGGAGGTGACGAAATGGAACTCTGCACATGCCCGGAAATTTCAAAAACCCCAAGGACCGCCTTTCCCACCTTGGATTCCTCTCCTAAAGGACTACAAAACCCATTATGGGGTGGGGGAGAAGGGCCCAGCACTCACCCCAACCTTACCCCCAGGCCTCGTTACCCAGCCGCCATCCTTGTTCCACGCGGAGCAGCATCCGGTGGAGACCGGTTCTCCCACTGGCGTTGCAGCCGGAACAGCTGTTGGGAACTGCAGCGGCAGGTCGGTCAAAAAATGAGGAGACACAGGGGGAGGAAAAGCCAAACGGACTGGCCTTTGGCGTCCTGTTGTCGCCATGGCAACACTCCAGGAAGAGGCGGGCCCAGAGGACCTGCTCTCTGTCTGTAAAGGGCTAGATGGTCCCCAGGCGACTTGCAGGAAGAGGCGGGACCGGAGGACCTGCCCTCTGATATCTGAAGGCTAGAACGTCTCCAGGTGGAATTCCAAGAAGAGGCGGGCCTGGAGGACCTGCCCTCTGAATACAACAGGCTAGATCGTCAGCATCAAAGGCCCACTAAGGACAAGCGTGCTAGACAATTTCCAAGAAGAGCCTGGAGGACCTGCCCTCTGAATACAACAGGCTAGATCGTCAGCATCAAAGGCCCACTAAGGACAAGCGTGCTAGACAATTCCTCTCCTTGCCTGCCCGTCCAGTTCTCCTCGCCCTCTGCTGGCCGCTCTTCCCTGGAGGACTACCCCCTCCCAAGGCCGGACGGAGGCCTCCTGGCTATGTTGGGGCGGGGCGGAGGTGGTGGAAGGGCGGCTGAGGTGCAAGAGCCGCCCCGGCCGCCCTTCCTGAGAGGGTTTGGGGAGGATGGCCT